CTCTCTCTCTCTCTCACACACACACACACACACACACACACACACACACACACACACACACACACAAACAAAATAACAGATATTAAGCCTAACATAGACATTTTGTATAAGAATTGTTTGAAAATGACCAAAACATTGTGACTTTCCTAATTTGGGAGGTTTTTGACTGAGTCAGGCGATCTTATCATAAGATTCCTCTAATTCTCTAACAGAAGGTCTTTTGTCAATTTAGATAAATGATGAAACTCTGCTTCTCTGCTTTTAACTTTCCTTTCAAAAGTTTTAACTACCGATAGGTGTTAAAAGTATTGCTATAAGAATGACATTGTTTTTGCAAACTATTAAACATACTATGTATACATGTTGTAATGGAAACAATTTTTTTAACCTTATTAAGACATCACTCAAATTGTAATATGGTCATTTTAATTCATTTTGGCCAACATGGGCAAGTTGACTTTTGCTTTTACTTTATATAAACTCCAAATATACAGTTACATTACAAAATGTATGATTTCTGTCTTTCAACAGGTACATGAAAGATCACACACAGGAGATCGGCCATATCAGTGTGACCATCCAGGTTGTGGAAAAGCATTTGCAACAGGTAGAGGGTTAATTCTTTTTAAGTGGAAATTTTAATTAAAGATTTATAAATAATGCAAGCTTACTACTTTAGTGGTGTGAAAGAAACATGCAAATCATTGAATGTCATAGAAAATTAAAGACAGATGGAATAAAAGATTTTAAATCATTCAATTTTTGTCAAGGTTATGGATTAAAAAGTCATGTCCGAACTCATACTGGAGAGAAGCCTTATAGATGTTCAGAAGAAAACTGCACAAAGTCATTCAAGACTTCAGGAGACCTGCAGAAACATATAAGAACCCATACAGGTATTTTGCATATTAATACACTTTAATTTTTATAATGGCATATTCGGATGTCATAAAGTATTTCTTAAGCACATCTACCTTTAACCAATCTGTTCTAAAGCCTAAAGCTTCAAATGTATTGTTTTACTGCATCTATTTAGGATAAGTCCCATTTAATTCAGAAATTCTTATATCTACATAAACAAATAGAGGGCTTAACTGTAAATTACTTTGAACATTTTGAAACTTAAAATAAAAACCTAAGCTTTATAACACCTTCACCTTCACATTCACTTTATATAAAATGTTCAACAAAAGTACTTTTTCTTTTTACGTAACTTAGAAAGTTTGTTGCTACCAATAAACATTCATAAATTCAAACAAAATTCAGCAATTTAATCAGTTTAATTTAAAGGCACCATAGATCTAAAGTAAAATAACGACAACATAACTGTTTAGTAATATTTAGTAGCAGCAGTAACAATCATACTCTTTCTTAGTTAAAATAATTTGCTCTTTTTTTTTACCAGTCACCTAAAATTCTGCATGCAGTTGATGTCTTTGGTAGGATGTTTGCAGTTGGAAAGTACTAGAGTAAAAGTTCATTTCTGTTCACAAATCAGTTAAACCTACAAACAAAAACAAAAAATATGAAGCTCTTTAAATATTAATTATGTATGGCAAAGTTGACAGCTTAGGTTAGCTAATTGTTGTATTTTCACCAATGATCGTGTTTGCATAATCTTCATGAAGAGGCCCACATAGAAGACCTTGCAATGGACTTGTCTGGATTGCCAAGAGGATATACAGCTGATACAAAGTTGGAACTGTTGAAATGCAGTTTATGCCATATGGACCTGGCCTAAAAGTATCCAAAAACTGCAGATTTGGTTTTGCACAATTTTATCAGTAATAGAACAAATAATTCCTGGTTAGTCTGCCAATCTATCAGCAGTAGCTTCTAATTGGCTGTTTTACTTTTTAGCCTCCCTTAGCACATCACTAACTTCAGCCTGATATTTGAGATACGAATAACAAATGGACTTTGAAATCATCAACATATTGATGATGTTTCATTCCAAAGCATTATTTAGCTTTTTTGAGATATTAAACAATGGAGAGTGAAATAATACATTTTTAACAAACGTGTAAAAGGGATAGTTTGATACAACTCAGCTTCTTCTGAGGATCCCTTTTCTCCCCTAACCTTCCTTCTTTTTCTCTGTACATGCCCAATATACACTAGAGCATTTTTGTTTCTTATTTTGCCATTATTTTCTTTAACAGTATTGACAGATTATCTCGATTTTCCTCATTTTTATTTAAAAGTCCTATAACCCCAGTTCATTCTTTTTTTCCTCTGTGCTATTATGGAGCTCTTCACATCTGTTTATTCCGTCATTTCATTTGTTAGTCTCGTGTATATACTCCATTCCTTCATTTGTCTCTGTTCCTCTGTGAAGCTTTTGTTACCTATACCCGTGATGATGAGCCTACGGCACACGCACCAGAGGTGGCACGCAGAGCCCTCTCTGTGGGCACATGCACCAGCCAGCTGGTCTTCGGGTTCCCAGCATGCACATGTGCACGCATTCCAGTTTGGGCACTCGGTGCCAAAAAGGTTCACCATCACTGACCTATATTCATAGTTTCCACACATCCATGAATTTCATACAGTAAATGAATATCAGGCAAAGGTAGTCTATGGGCAGTTGCTGATTTACTATCAAAGACTGAAATAAATTGAGTTTTTGAGTTTTATTTTATTTATATGCTGCCCTTTTCCCCTGAAGGGGACTCAGGGCGGCTCACAACTCAACCAAAAAATTGCCATCCAATTCAGTTCTCTACTTCCAGAAGAAGTGAAGTAATATAAATCTGTGCTGTAGAAACATTATTTTAACTTCTGTTGGACATGGTTCAATATTAAATTAAATTAAATGTGGAGACAGCCTATATACAATTGGTACTTGCAATTTCTCAGGAAGAAAGCAATTACAATTGATAGTTTACACCCACAGTAGGGTTTTTTTTTAACCATAGCTAAACACAGTGTATATTCTCTAGGAGGTAATCCTTAGTTATTTTTGTTATATATTGATAATATTTGGCTTTCAGATATTAATACTAAAAGTATTTCAAATAGGAATTGCCTTCGGCATCTAAGAAAAACAAACAAAATTTATCACATACATTCTGAATAATAATATTTTTTCTTGTATGTTTCTAATGTAAGCATAAAGAATATATCCCCCAGAAATACTGAGATCTAAATTGAAATTGAAAACCCCATAGAAGAACAAGGCTGAAGTGTGTGTTTTTATGTTAATTTATCTATTTTTAGATTTTGTTTTAATCTCCCTTTTATTTTTATAAATAACTCAAGGCAGTGAACAAACCTAACATTCTTCTCTCCTTCCATTTTCCCCACCACAATACCCTGTGTGGTAATTTGGCTGAAAGCGAGTGATTGGCCTAAAGTTACCCAGTTAGCTCTCTTGCCTAGAATTCTCAGTCTCCAGGTTTCTAACCTGGTGCCTTAGCCACTACACCAAATTGGCTTCACAGGTAGAGCTCAATATCCTATTTCTCTGCTCTGCTTTTCAGTTTTAAATGTCTTCATAAGGGAGACAGACTTCATATAAATTTAGCTTTACATTACAATACAATACACAAACTGAAATCTACAGTGGAGGGATCTATGAAACTATATAAATTTGTTTCCCTCTTAAAAGTCCAGTTTCTAAAATAACCATATCCTTAATGCTTGCCCTAAAAAGAAGAAAAAGAATCAAAACAGGTTGTGTAACATTCTTACAGACATTCCATTCCTTCTATTTGAACTAAAGACCGCCTTTAAAGAAAAGCTGTTGTTGGGTGTGTCTTAGCACAGTTCAGCTCTTTTCTCCCTTGTAACAATATGATATCCAGCATCATGAAAGGATTATGGAAACTATGGCAATGTAATATTGTAGTAAACACTTCAAAACATACATCTTTCTGGCAAAAAACTGGCAGACTTTTTAAAGTAAAAAAATTGCAGTTTTTTCTAGGAGGAAGCCAATAGTTGTCTTTCATAGAAATAATTTGAAGGCTTTTTCCTATCTGGTATTTTATAATAGTAGTGGGGGGATTAATAAATATCTCGGTAATATTCAATAATACATTGAATTATAAAAATTGTGCTTTCACCCATCCCTCTTAGGCTTCTCTCTGTGGCATGACAGTATACAGAGACTCGACAGTTCTTAGCAAAAGCACTTGAGAAAGTGTCGCACACCAGCATAAGGGTATGCTAGCAATATTTGTTGTAGGGATTTAAGTACTGATCAGTACAGACATATTTATTCTAGTTGTATATAAGTTAAACAGGGAAAAGATACTTTTTTTCTTTATTACATAGGTGAGTTTAATACACATATGTTTTAGAGCCATGATTGCGAACCTATGGCATGCGTGCCACAGGTGGCACACAGAGCCCTCACTGCGGGCACGTGAGCTGTCACCTAGCTCAGCTCCACTGCGCATGCGGGCGTGTCTCCCGCCTACCAGCTGGTGTTTGGGTCTGCTGCACGTGCGTGGTGGGTGGGGTACATATGCAGGGATGCACATGCATGTGTGGGGGTGCACACAGGGTGCGCGTGCAGGGGAAATGGGGTTGCACATGCATGTGCAGGGGGAGCATGGGGGAGTAGCACACGCCAGGGGAAGGGGGTATATTGCATTATGCATGTGGACGCTTTTGGCACGCAACGACAAAAAGGTTAGCCATCACTGTTTTAGAGTGTTCTCTTTACAGATGGATAATTGATACCCATTTGTTTAAACACAGCCAGTGCTACAACCCAGCGACCTAACAAAATATGCCCTTTCTTTCTCAAGCAGCAGTTTTTCATGCTGTTTTAACATTTTAATGACACATACATTTTTTGTAAAATACTATATTACTAATATGTGTCCAAAGTTCAGTATTTGACTGGGAATGCACATATTCAGAAGTTTAATATTCTGGATTATAGTCTATTTCTAAGGAATTTTCCTTTTAATTTAAGGAGTAACTGAAATGACAAACTTGCCAGCAGCAGTTAAACCACACTTTGTACACAATACATAATAACAAAAAGTACATAGTAACACTCAAAATCTTTGCCTCCAGGTTTCTTTCCATCCTGTCTCATTTGTATTTTAAAATGTTTAGCTTTTCATTTAGTGAGGTTTTTATTGTTTTTGTGAATTATTCATATGCCACATGAATAGTTCATATTGTAGTAGCTATTACCACTATGTGTATATTGGCATTTTAACCTTCAGAGAAATGAGAGAAATAAAACATGTAAATTTTCAACCTTTATTACAGTAATAGATCAACACAAAACATATATAAATATTGCCTTATTTGTTTATAGAAGTTTGTCTACCTGCATCTTTGACTTAAGCTAGTAATGGTATTGAATATACAAAATTTCCCCAAACTTTAGGCATGATTCATTAAGATGAAATGTTAAAGAAAAAAAATGTAAATATTAATTCCTGAACAGTTTATTCACACAAAATAAATATAAAACAAATTAAACAAAAGGTGAATTCAGTGATTCAGTAAAATATAGTGAATTTACTGTATTTTAGAGCTCACAATTTTGTACAAGGCAGCATTAGAAATTTATTTGTACCAGAATACTATAATCTATTTTAAAAATAGTGAAAAAAGAAGGAAGGAGGAGGAGAGAGGTGTTTATTGACATTTTCAGTGCCAAATGTTTATAAATGAATTAATATGCTTTTTAAAAAGTATTCTAATTTGTTTGTCTCAATTTTTTAAAGGTGAAAGACCCTTCAAGTGCCCCTTTGAAGGATGTGGTAGGTCATTTACAACATCTAACATCAGAAAGGTTCATATCAGGACACATACAGGAGAAAGACCATATTATTGTACAGAGCCAGGATGTGGAAGGGCATTTGCCAGTGCAACTAACTATAAGAATCATGTGAGAATACATACAGGTATTGTATTTGATATATTTTGCTTATAGTACTTGACTTTTTTTACTTTGCAGATTAATTTGAGGGATAATTTTCGGTCTTTTGGGAAAATAGGAAACAATTCATTCTCCTCTTAACAAAATGGAACTTGAAATATTCTCTAATGACAATCAGAGAAAATGGAGAGAATTTTAAATAATGTGAATGCAACTTTAGAACAGAATTTCTCAAACTGTCATTGCAAGTAAGGTTGTAAAACAGCTGAAAATATAGGTATTCATCTTTGCATTTGATGTCAACCATTAATTCTGATAAAGTAGTTCTAGATTTGAAGCCTGGGTCTCTGGTTCATGTTAATTATAATACATTGGTTTTAAAGATGATGTGTATTTTTATGTTTTAGGGTTGTAAAATCAAAATAGAAATAATGTACTTTGAATTGCAAATTGGAACTTCAGGAATAATTTTAAAATCATCCATGAAAAGAAAGACTTTTTAAAAACTTTATATGTATTGTTTTTCTTTCTTTTCTTTTTTTGCAATATACATAATACTGTGTGTTATCTTAAGCATGCTACGTCCTTTTTTGAGAAACTGTTGCTGATACATAGTGCATGGAAAAGTTTCCCAAAATAAATAATATTTTCTTCTTTTTTCAGTATTAGCACATTTCCCTGAAGGCTTTGCCACTAATGGACCCAAAGTTTCTTTTTCTTTCAAGTGATTTGCATCCTTCTAAACAATTATACTTTGGTCTCATTAGTGAGATCAGATGTTTTGTATTATATGCACTTAAAAGAATAATAATGTAATATATGTACATTACCAATTATTATGCTTTATAAGCATATAATTTTGTAAAAGTAAAATGATTCCTTGTGATTTTCAAGAATATTAATGATGCTGGAGAAGTCTCTGAAAAAGACAATTTTAGGTGCCTATCAGCAGTGGAGAGTGAGGGATGGATAGGAGGTGGCTGTTTCAGGTGGGCATTGGTCCACAAAATGATCATGATTACTAGCACAGGTAGTCCTCAATTTACAATAGTTTGTTTAGTGACCGTTCAAAGTTACAATAGCATTGAACAAAGTGACTTATGACCATTTTTCATATTTATGACTATTGCAGCATCCCCATGATCATATGATGAAAATTCAGGTGCTTGGCAACTGACTCATATTTATGATGGTTGCAGTCTCCTACGACCATGCAATGTTCTGACAAGTAAAGTTAATGTAGAATCCAGATTCACTTAACCAATCATGTCACTACCTTAACAACTGCAGTGATTCATCTAACAGTTTTGTCAAGAAAGGTCATAAAATATGGCAAAATTCACTTAACAAATGTCTCATTAGCAACAGAAATTTTGGGCTCAATTATGGTCATAACTCGAGGACTACTTGTAGTTGGATATTTATTGAAAAGTAAGATAAGAAAAAGGTCTGAGGGGAGGAATGCTGGAAGAAAGAAAGGTTTACTGGACAAAGGTTGGTGGAAGGATTGACTTAGAGCAGGGGTGTCAAACTCAAGGCCCGTGGGGCAGATCCAGCCCATGGGGTTCTTAGTTTTGGCCCGCGGGGCCGCTCTGGAAACAGCAAAGGACCGGCCTCTGGTGCCTCTACCAATGAAAAATGTAGGTTGGGAGGGCTGTGTGCAGTCCTTGTGAACTCTGTTTTCGCTGGCAGAGGGTTGTAGGAGGCTGTTGCAGCCGAAAATGGTGCTCAGGAGTCCGTTTTTGTTGGCAGAGTGCTTGGGCCACCACAGACATCACTGACACAAGTGACATCGAGCTGGCCACGTCCACCCTGGCCATGCCCCTCCCGCCCCACCCCAAGGTCAAACACAACCCTGATGTGGCCCTCAATGAAATTGAGTTTGACACTCCTGGCTTAGAGGAAAGAGAAAGTGCTTAGAAGAAATCTGCAAGAGAAGGAAATGGAAGGGAGGACAGAAGGCAGGCAAGTGGAAAGAGAATGAAAATTGGTGATTGACTTGAAATATTGTAACAAAGAAACCAATATACTGAAGTTCTTGTTTTTAACATAAATGTAATGATTTGCAATATCTGAAAATGACTTTTATTTATGGTATGGGATTGCCAGAATGTACAACCTATGCAGTGACCTTCATTGCTTGTCTCTTTTTTGCCTAGGGGAGAAGCCTTATGTATGTACAGTCCCTGGCTGTGATAAGCGTTTTACTGAATATTCCAGTTTATATAAACACCATGTGGTACATACGCATTCTAAACCTTACAACTGTAATCACTGTGGAAAAACATACAAACAGATTTCTACTCTTGCAATGCACAAGCGAACAGCACACAATGATACTGAGCCAATAGAGGAAGAACAAGAAGCTTTTTTTGAGCCACCTCCAGGTATTAGTTAATTATTGATTTTTGAATCAAGAATAAAGAAAAATATGATTTTTCTCTCAAGTTAACTGTGAGAATGGTTTTTGTTCCTTACCTCTTGCAAATAGTTCATTATGTTTTAAGTTCTACTTTTAAACATTAGATGTCTTCCATGGTGCCCATATCTTTGTGTTTTAAAATTATTTGTAAACAACCTGCCATTTGTAATTAATTACTACAAAGATAGTTAAGATTCTCTGAAACTAATCAGTCACAGAGGAAATACAAATGTAAAAATAATACGGAATGTGCTGTACACGTTTCTGAGATTGCACCATTAGAAGAGGCCATCCATCAGTCTGGGATTAGGTATCATCAATAAACTAATGCAGGGATGTCAAACTAAAGGTCCATGGGCCGAATCCGGTCCAGGGAGTGCTTAGATTTGGCCCTAAAAACAGCAAAGGGCCAGTCCACGGTGCCCCTGCCAACGAAAACGGAGCGCAGAAGGGCCGCATGAGGCCCTCCTGAGCTTTGTTTTTGCTGGCAGCGGGTTGCAGGAAGCTGTCACAGCTGAAAACGGATCTTGGGAACCCGTTTTTCCTGGAAGAGCTCTCAGGCCACCACAGGCACCCCTGACATAAGTGATGTTGAGCTGGCCATGCCCCCCCTGCCCACACCCACTCCATGCCCCCCCCCCAAGTCAAACACAACCCTGATGTGGCCCTCAATGAAATCGAGATTGAAAGCCCTGATCTAATGATATCCAGTCATATATCTTCATATACTCCTCTTGATTAGATTATTGCATAGGCAGTCCTTGACTTACAATGACAATTGGGGGTGGAATTTCTGTCACTAAGTTGTAAAGTATGACCACATCGTTTAGCAATGGCAATCCCTGCAGTACATAAAATTTGAAAAAAATAAAATATCTTTCTTCTTTGGAATATCTATTAAATAAGTACAAAGTTCTCCTTCTCGTAAGAAATTCTCCAATATGATTTTTAAAGCAAATATATCAACATTGTCCATTCTGATTTGAAGTGGGGATGAAAAACCTATTTTCTTGGGGGTTGTAAATTTACTTGCAGATGTTCTTTCAATTGCATTGGGGGACCTGTAATTAAATCATCTTCATAGTAAGCACTGTTGGGGTCAGACTTATATTCCAAACTTATAGTTAAGTCATTAGTATTGTCAAATACTTGTGCAGTAACCTCAGGAGTTTGATATCTGCAGTTGATTGCATTTCTGGGTTTCTCATTTTCTTCTAATTACTTGAGTAATTTGTTTCTCACTCTTCTTTCATAACATCTTTGAGATATAGTTGATCTATAATGGAAATTGTTTCTCCAAAATAATTCTGCCTATCTTAATCTGAATAGCCAGAAGGCACTTACTAAAAGGTTATTACTATCAAGAGTTGTGATGGGAGGGGACCTAACAGCAAGTTTTCTCTGTGGTAATTTCCCTCGTATTATCCCCTACCTTTGTGGCTAGTAAAAGCCTGGCATATTTGGAAGACATTAGGAGTCTGATTGTAGGGGACCATGATAATTTTAATAAAGCTAATAAAAGACAGTTTAACCGATTGTCTAATAATATAATATAATTGCTCTAGGGAACTTGAAAAAATACTTAGAAAGCTGCCAAAGGAAATGCGAATCATGTCCATTTGTTGCCAGAATCCCAACATTTATATTTCCATCTAGTCACGGCTTGAGCTCAATATAAAAGAATTCTTAACTTTTTAAAATGCAAATTAAACTTGTGTTTCTTTAAATAGGTCAAGGTGAAGATGTTCTCAAAGGATCACAAATAACATATGTAACGGGTGTTGAAGGAGAAGATGTTGTTTCACAAGTTGCTACTGTGACTCAGACTGGGCTGAGTCAGCAGGTAGCACTTATTTCTCAAGATGGAACTCAGCATGTAAGTATTTGCCATAATCAAAATAGCTTAAAAATTTTGTTCATGGGTTTTATTTACAGGTGTCATTAAAATTGGTTTCCAGTAACAATAATGTTAGGAACATGTGATACATTAACTTTTAAAAAAGGACTGCAATACTGTGGAAACCATATAATACTTAAAACAGAATAAATTTACTTTAAAAGTGCCAGTTCAATTTTTTTTATGTCTGACTTCTGCTTAAAGTTATTATGAACCTTCTGATTTTTAATCTTTTTAACATGGGGTTGCCCTCGAAGAGCACCCGGAAGCTTCAACTGGTCCAGAATGCGGCTGCGCGGGTTGTCATGGGGGCACCCAGGTACTCCCATGTTACACCCCTTCTAGGCAGCCTGCACCGGTTGCCGGTCGTTTTCTGGGT